TCGGTCAGAGTTGTGAGTGAGGGCTTTAACTGCAGCCTCGGGACATGCCAGAGCTTGAGGCAGATGTCCTGTGGGGTAGAGGCTGTGCGTCCTGCTGGGGACACAAGGTTGAGTTTTCACTTGAGGTTTTTGCGGCAGCAAGACTCGAGAACCTCTTTTCCCACCCAACCCTGAGGTTTCAGCTTGTTTAAACCCCTGGTTTCAGCTCGATTGCTGGCACACTGGCCAGCTCAGGCCTTGCTTTGGGGTCCAAGTGCACTCGGAATGACAATCCCCCCGTTGTGTCTGTGTCTGCCCATGGTTCCCTACAGCAGCAGCTTCAAGCTCACCAGCTGTCGCAGCTCCAAGCCCTCGCCCTGCCTCTGACTCCGCTCCCCGTGGGGCTGCAGCCCCCGTCGCTCCCCGCCGTCAGCGCCGGCACCGGGCTCCTGTCGCTCTCGGCCCTGGGCTCGCAGGCTCACCTCTCCAAGGAGGACAAGAACGGCCACGACGGGGATGCCCACCAAGATGATGACGGCGAGAAATCGGATTAGGGCGATCGGGGGGGCCGGGGCCGGGGGAAGGGGGCTGGCTGGGGGAGGGAGGGGGCGGGTTAGTGCAAAATGCAGTATCTCCCTCTAATCGCTGTGCAGCAGGGCCGTGGTGACCTGTGCTGGGTGGCAGCTCGCCAGGCCTGTCCCCACGGGACCTGGGGGTGTCCCCGGCGCCGTCCCCGGCTGCTGCACAGCGATGCAAGCGCCATAGCATTACCCGTGTGGCCAGTCGTGCTCTCCCTGTGCCCAGCCTGCCTTCCCCGTCCCTCCTCCCACTCAGAGCTGAGCCAGAGTCTGGCTTGGGCCGCTCTGGGGCCACTTTGCCCCTTGGCTGTCCCAGCTCCTCGGTGCCATGTGGCCCCTCCCTCCACCTGCTGCTCCCCCCTCGGTATTTAAAGATTGCCCCTCGATCCTAACGGTTCTGCACAACTCCCTGCTAGGATCCCTGGCCCAGAACAATCTCCTCCCTTCCCCAGGCGCTCTTGGTCTCGTCGCATCGCCCTGGCCCCGTGTCCCCCACGCCCCTCCTGCACTAATACCAGGCCTAACAACAGCTTTGCTGTTCTGCATGTACCTGTTCTCAACCAGCTCTGGCTGCCAGGGGCTTCACCCTGGGCTGGAGGGGGAGCCTGTGCCACCTGCTCCCCCTCAGCACAGCGTGGGGCTGCGGGGTGGCTGGGCAGAGGGGGCAGGCAGACCGAGAGCCTTCCCCAGCCTCCCCCTCCCCGTGCCCCTGCCCTGTGTAGAGGATACAGCAGCTTTCTCTGTTCTTATCTCCGTGCGCTAGCGTGTCTTCTTAAAAAACAAAAATGGAAAAAAAAATAATAAATAATAATCTGGTGTTTGTATATAGTTCTTTAGAAAGATCTTGTTTTGCTTTTTGTGTTTAATCACTTGACCTATAATAAGAGGAACTGAAAATGCTGTATCAAGGACGTACAAGCTGTGCCTTTCAAATAAAGAAATAAGAAGGTTGGTTAAAACCGTGACTTGCTGCCGCTTTCTTGTTGCCTTCGGGGTGATTTTAAAATACTTCTCTGTGTCTCCTGTCCTTTCAGATGGGGAGAACTGAGTTTTCCTGGTTCACCTGTGCTGTGGGAGGTGTCTGGAGGTGCAGCCCTCCTTCCTTCAGCTGGTAGCATATCCCAGATTAACCCTTCCTTGTTGGATGTGCTGCTCTCCCTCTCTGGAGGTTTCTCTGGGAGCCAGGATGAGCAGGGTTAATATTCACACCTCTGGCTTCTCTTGTAAGGGCTGGTGGAGTGGGACCACATTCCCACCAAGTCCCTGTGGCCTTTGTGGCTCTGGGACAGAGGTGGGGGCTGTGCCACAGCTGCAGCCTGCTGGAACCAGGGCCGGAGGATGCCCAGAGCTCGAGGTGAAAGTGGTGGGTGATGAAAATGGAGTGGGGGACTCTCCAGAAGAAAAGCAAGGAGCAAAGTGCCCCCGAGGTCTATCAGCTCTGCTGCTTTGGTAACACATGTGGATGTCCCTGCGGGCTGCCACAGGTCTGCTCTGTGTGTGCATAATTCATTTTTCCTGTGGGCACAGAGGATAAGCTACTTCTGTGGCTCTCAGGCCCCTCTGGAAAATCCGGCCTGCGGTGCCCTGGGGCTGAGATTGCTCTAATGGAATTGGCTCTCGATAATTAGAGCTGTCCTCTGACTTCAGAGCCTGCTCCACCCTGATAACATCTTCCCCTCGGTATCTCTTAGGCCACTTGGAGTGGGAAAATTTCCTTCCTCTGGGGAGAAGCCGTGCTGGGGGAGTCCTGGTGCACCCAGCAGTGAGCTGTGGAGGGGCTGGTGGGTTACAGAGCCTGTGGGCAGCCCTGGGACAGGGGATGTTATTCCTGGTGGGTGTGCAAGGGAGGAGGATTTAGGAGAAATTGTTCAGGGCTGCTTTCAGGAACAGAGGTCGTTCTTGTTGGAGCTAAATCAGCGGCCTCGGTTCACTGGGCAAGGGGGTTGGACAAACCACGAGGCCACTGGGGAGGCTGTGGGGATCTCCCTGCTCCCTCTGGGGAAATAACCCTCTGCTAAAGCACAAAGAGAAAACTTCTGGGCTCTCCCAATCGCCTGCGCCTTCCAGCAGGTGCTGAGCTGAACCTTGTGCTCTGCTCCTGCTTCCCATGATGTTCCATTCCCAAAGCATTCCCCTGCAGGTCGGGGGGCACCCTGGTATCCCATCCTACTGAGGAGCAGGGTTTGTTCCCTGTGCCACTCTCCAAAGGGAGTCATTTCACAGGGCACCTTCCCAGATTTGGCCTCAAATCTTAACTACATAACAAACTGCAAGTCTAACCCAGACCAACAGCAAAGAAAAGGGTTAAAAATACCTCCCTGGTCACTCTGCCAGTAGCTGCAGACCCGAGGAAAGCTCTGTAAGCTCTCAGAAGGCAGGAGCCCCTCTCAGGCCCTGCAGAACAGCTCAGCACTTGCAAGGACACAGCTGACAAGGGGCCCCCGAAGCTGCCCAGGGATGATCTGAGGGTGGCTCCTGGCAGAAAAGCCCTTTCTCCTCGTGTTCCAGAGCTCGTGGTGCCAGAGTGGGACAGGGCTGATGGTCTGAGAACCAGCTCTGCTGCCCCAGGATCCTTGGGAAAACTCAGCAGAGCGCTGACTCATAAAGGGTGGGCAGAGACTCAGTGCCAGCCCCTGCCCTGCTGCCCACAGAGGCTGTGGTGGGCAAGGGGGCAGGGGCAGGACCCACCTGGCAGTGCCCCATGTCCTGACTACCAAGCAGCACAAGATTAACCCGGGTTTGACGCGCTCCCAGCTGCCAGGGGTTTGACAAAACTCTGCTGTCACCCTTCTCCTCCCTTCCACCCGGAGGATCAAACCCCAGCCTCCTTCCCCCTCCATGCAGAGACTCTGGCACTTTCTCACTGGGTTTCTTTCACCTCTTTGGGTCCTTCCCGCAGGACAGAATTCCCAGCGGGAGTCGGAGTCGCCTCTGGCACATCCCCCCGTGATTCCCACCCTCCTCATTTTACAGCCCAGCTCTGCCTGGAACAATGGCACAGGAACGCTGGAGGAGCAGGGCTTCCTTCCCAGCCCGCTAATGCAGGAATGCCGAGCTCTTCCTGGCTGCAGCGAGCACCAGATAAAAGCTAAAGGAGGCATCAATAATTAAAAACCACTCAGAGCTGCTAAGTGCAAACAGGAGCCAACACACGGATCGAAGGCAGAGAGCAGAGGCTGTCAGCTGCTGGGCTGCTCTGAGGGCTCCCATCCTTTCTGCAGCCCCTGGAACCAGGGACACCTGGAGGGGACACCGAAGGCTCTGGGGACATGTGGCTTTGGAGAGTGGACACCAGCACTGGCGGTTTGGGGATGGGAAGCTGCAGTTTGGTCCTGGAAGTGGAGTTCAGGGGACTGTGGAACCTTGGTTTCCAGTACAGCTTTGGCTTAGATCTCACTGGTTTGCTGCCAGATCCTTTGCTCAGCTCCCCTTCCCATCCCACGTTCATTCCAGGACTGACTCCAGCCAGGACGAGGTCCCTGGTTGTGCCAGCTGCCCTGGGAAATTCACATTGTCTGACGGTGCCAGGAACTACTCTGCTGACTTTGTGCCTCCTCATTCAAGCAGGCAAAGGAGCAGCTGAAAATAGGATGGTTTGATCAGCCACAGCCACCCTTGGTGTCTGCAAAACGTGGTGGGCTCTGCCCTGGAGCATCCATCCCCTCTGGAGATGTGTGTGGGACCTTCATGGCATGGGGCAGGACAGAGCTGGGCTGCCCTGTGCCAGGCTGGCATCCAGGGAAGGAGCTGAAAGGCAAAATCCCGGGGTAATTCCAGCAGCAGCAACCTCTCTTGCTGGGATCCAGCTTCAGATGGAGCTCCTGGGTGTCCCAAAGCCTGCGCTGCTTTGATTTCTCTGCTGCTTTCTCTTGCCTCTTGATCCCAGCATGGATTTCAAATATTCTCCTCCCCTGGGGCTCTTCCAGGCCCTGCCACCACCAGGCAGAGCTGTGGCTGCTGCAGGGGGTGGCTGAGCATCCTGCAGTGGTGACAGCCAGGTCTGGGCTGTGGCTACTGCCCAGCACGGTGCCCATGCCCGGGGACAGCAGCAGGACCATCTCCTCTTGCTGCTGGGGGTGCCAAGGGTTAAGTGCCGTTGTTTTCTCCCTTCCAAACACAAATTAATCTCTGGGTTACAGGCTGTGCTGCTCCAGGGCTCACGTCAATCACTGCTGGAGGCTGATCAAGATACGTGTGGCACCCATCACTCCGGAGCTGCCTGCTCCAGGTTTACCTGTGTCACTCTCCTGAGACAGGAGCACAGAGCCTGCCAAAGGAAAACTGGCAATTTTCAGAAAAGAGTTTTGAAAAACGCTGCAAAACATCTCCTCGGTCTATCCTTCCCTTGAAACACGATCTGAAATGTTTCCAGCCTTTGAAAATATACTTTCCTAAAAAAAAAAAAAAACACCTCAGCTCTCCCAATAAGGCAAGACACACACAGAGAGAAAAAAAGAAAAACTTTAAAACCTTACATTTGGATTAAAATATGCAGATATATGATGTAAACACAGAAAAAAAATCTATGTAACTGCACAGAAGGGAGGGTTTTGGAGGGTTTGAAAGTGGTGTCCATCACTGCCTGAGTCAGTGGATCTGCCCAGAGAACACCTGTAAAGGTAAAGGTAAAGGTAAAGGTAAAGGTAAAGGTAAAGGTAAAGGTAAAGGTAAAGGTAAAGGTAAAGGTAAAGGGGCTGGGTTGGCTCTTTGCTTGGGACTGACAGGGTCTGGGGCCAGCCTGGCCACTGCCAGCAGAGCCCCCAGTCCTGGCTGGGGAGGAGAGGCAGGGACACCAGGGGATGGAAGGATGGAGGGATGGATGTATGGAGGGATGGATGGATGGATGGATGGATGGATGGATGGATGGATGGATGGATGGATGGATGGATGGATGGATGGATGGATGGATGGAGGGATGGATGGCACAGGGGCAAGAAGAGGGAGAGCCTCCAGTGCCCAGCACCTTGTCCCTGCCCCAGTGGCTGCCAGCACGCAGCACGTAAATAACGCAATGAATAAAACATCAGGATGAAATGTGAGGCATTAAATATTTAACCTCGTGCCTGCCAGCGCAGTGCCCAGGTACAGCTGGGTCCTGCAATATTTAAAGGTTGTTCCTCGCCCGCCTCCACCGCCCCCGAGCGCGGTGACTTCGCAGCGGCCGCGGCTGGAGGGGCGGCGGGGGACGGGGACTCGGTGATGCCCGCTCCGGGGCGCTCGGCGGGAGCGCTGCCGGCCGCAGCCGCCGCCCGGAGCCCGAGCGCGGCGGCCCCGGGGCGCTCCCGCCGCCGCCCCACGTTACTTTGAGTGGCAGCCGCGGCAGCCGCAAGGCCTCGTGGGCCGCGCAGTCCGCCTGCCCGGGCCGCCCGCGGCGGGAGCCCCGCCTGCTCGCGGCGCCGGGCCGAGCCCCGCGGTAGATCCCGGCCGGGCCGCTCCCCGGGCCCGCGGCGGCGGCAGGGACGGCACGGACCGGCACGGACCGGCCCGGGGCGCCGCCGCCGTGAGGGCGTAGCCAAGGGCGGACTACAACTCCCAGCGTGCCCCGCGGCGCCGCCTTGGGGGCTCCGGCCGCTCGCTCACTTCTCATTGGCCGTTCCGCTCTGTTGCGTCACGAGCCCATGTGGGAACCGCGCGGGACGATTGGCTGGCGCTCCCGCAGCGGCAGCCAATGGCCGGTGCGAGCGGCGCCGCTGCGGCTGCGGGCCGGTTAAGGTGGCGCGGGCGGAGAGGACGGGATGGGGGAGCCCCGCCGTGCCGCCCCTCCCGGTGGGGATGCTCCCCAGGGACCCCGGCCCGCCTGTGCACCGGGCCCCGCTGCCCCTGGGGTCCCCGGCTCGGCGGGCACTGTCCGGCTGCACTCGTTTGTGATGTCCGCCCTCGGGCGCTGCCCCGCCGCCGGCCGGTGCCGCGTCCGCCCGCAGCGTCGGGGGCGGTAGCAGCGCCCGGCGTCGCTCCCGGGGACCGGGCTGCCCGGGGGACGGGGGATGCTCCGGGCCGCACGCGCGAGTGGTACCGCGCTGGGGGCCGCGCGCGTGGCGGGACCCGGGGCGGAAGAAGCGCCCGGTGAGTTCCGGGCCGGGGCCGCCGTGTGGGCGGGCTCCTCTCGAGCGGCTCCGTTTGGGACAGCAGCGGCGGCTCCGGAGCCGGCGCCTTGCCCGGGGTCCCCTCGGTTTCCTGCATCGCCGGCGCGGGAGCTCCGGTGCCGCGCTCGCGGTGTCCCGAGTCCCGCGGGAACGCGCCTCCTTAAGCGGGCGCGGGCGGCCGGGGCGCGCGGGGCCGGGCGGCCGCTCCCCCCAACACCGGGGCCGCCCCCGCCCCGCCCCGGCCCCGCCGGGACCAGCGGAGACCCCGGGAGCGCCGCCCGGCGAGACCCCGGCGGAGCCGCCCGGTGAGACCCCCGGGAGCGCCGCCCGGCGAGACGCCGACTCCCCGTCCGGCCGGACCCCGGCTCGCCGCCCGGTGAGACGCCGGCTCCCCGCCCGGCCGGAGCTCCCCGGTGCCCTGCGAGGGCCGGGCAGCAGCGCCCGGCGAGCGGCGGGGCCGGAGCCCGGGCGCTCAGGATGTTCCCGCACGGACGGCACCCGGTAAGTGCGGCGGGGGCGGCGGGGCCGGGCCGGGCCGCGGGACCGAGCCGCAGCCTCCAGCCCGGGCTCTCTCTCCGCTGCAGCCCGGGCAGCCCTTCAAGTTCTCGGTGCTGGAAATCTGCGACCGCATCAAGGAGGAATTTCAGTTCCTGCAGGCGCAGTACCGCAGGTGGGGACGGGGTCGGGGTGGGCGCGGGCTGAGCTCCGGTGGGACGAGGGAGGCTGGAGGGTTCCAGCAGGGGGAAAAGTGGGGAAGGAGGAGCTGGAGAAAAGGAGCCTGGGGGAGGGAGGAAGGGGAGAGGGGTTTGGGCTGAGGGACGAGTCTTGAGCGGGGGTCCCAAGGGGAGGAGCAGCCGCGTTTCCTCTGGTTGAGCGGGGTGTAGGGGCAGGGAGGGCACAGAGCCCTGGGTGGGTGCTACAGGTGCGTGCACAGCACAGCCGTGGGGTGTGTGACACCCCGGGGAGGGTGTGTGACACCCCGGGGAGGGTGTGTGACACCCCCGGGAGCCCGCAGGGGCACGCAGGAGATGTGCCGAGCTTGCCCCAGGGATGGGGCAGGAGCTGCAGGTCCGTGAATGGAAGCCCTGGCTCCCCTTTGCAGCCTGAAGCTGGAATGTGAGAAGCTGCTGAGCGAGAAGACAGAGATGCAGAGACATTATGTCATGGTGAGCTGGTCCTGCTGTGTCCCCCTGTCCCCCTGGGCTGCTGCCCCCACACTGATCTGGCTGCTGGGGCTCCTCTCAGCCACTGCCCTGCCCAGTGCTGACCTTGGGGCTGGCGAGATGCGAGGGAGGAAGGGGTTAATCACCATTTCTAGCAACGCTGGCTCTTGGTGCTCAGTGCTGCTTGAGCCCGGGAATCCTGCCATAGGTTTTGTCTCTTTTTTTTGGTTTCAGTTTTTTGGTGAGTTCTTTTTTGTTTTGTTTTTTTTTTTATCTTTTTCTATCTGGCCTTGTAAGAGAGCTCCCGAGGACTCCCTCTCTCTCTCCCAAGGGATGGGTATTTAAGAACTGATGCTCCAAGGCTCATGGTTTGGGTGGAAGGAGCAGGGTAGGAGCTCGCCACAGTTGCCAATGAAGGGGTAACAGCCCCCAAGACAGACTGACCTGGGCATCAGCCAGGGAGCTGCTGGGAGGAAGGAAAGAGGATGAGGATGGCAGGGCAGCTCCTTCTCCTTCAGCATCTGACCTTACTGGCCCCTCTGGGGAAAGGGGGAACCCAAATGACACCATCCAAGAGGCAAAAAGATGTGAATTTGGGCAAAGCCCAAATCCTGGGGGTGAATACAGCCCTGTCTGTGAGGCTGGGTGTTGATATTGCAGAGCGTGCTCCTCTCACCCATCAGCTGGGATCCCTCCCCACATCCTGGGGGCTCAGGGATTTCTGGAGGTGCATTGCTACCCTTGGACCAGGCTTTGCTGGGGGGAAAGCAGCTCCTCTGGTGCCCTTTTCTGCCCAGGTGTGTGGGATTGGGGTCAGCACCCCTGGCAGGGTCACTGGGGGCTGCCGAAGGGTGAAACCTGTAACAGGTTCTAAGTGGGGTGGGATGAGCCAGGACAGGATCTGGGGAGGCAGCAGGACTGGCTTCTCCTGGCTTCAACAAATTGCAGGTGTTAGCAGCCTGTGACTGCTCCCTGCCTTGTCCCAGGCTCCTGGCACAGTGTCCCAGCCATTCCTCGTGGGCTGGAGCCAGCCAAACCCCGGGCTGCTCCTGGGCCAGTGGCTTGGACAGCTCCTAACCAGGCTGTCCTGTGGTTTTCCTCTCAGTACTACGAGATGTCCTACGGCCTGAACATTGAAATGCACAAACAGGTAAGTGCAGTGAGGGCTGGGACAGCAGCAGGGGAGAGGGAAGAGGCAAGGTTGGAGATTTTGTTGGAAATAATCTCCCTTGAGCCCTGTAGCTCTTGTGGCACGGGAGATGTGACACAGATCTGTTGGAGGGACTGGCTTGCAAAGGGATCCAGGAGTTGTCAGGATGTGTTATTGAGTTCCCCATCCCAAAGAGAACCACTCAGAGCCCTGCTGTGAGCCCTGGTGCCTCCCTGCAGTGCTTCCCTGGGGCCCCACTTGAAGGAGGGTTGTGGAGGAAACAGCAGGAGCTAGAGCCCAGAGGCAAATGGATTGTCTTTCTTTTCTTTTTCTCTTAATCCCCTTTTCCTTTCCCAAAGCCAGAGGAGTGTTTTCACCCTTCCCTGGTTCCCCTTTTGTTCCAGCGTTAATTTGCTTTCCCTCTTCAGATTTATCAATCTAGTCATCATGGGCTCTCTGCCAGGGAAATTAGTTTGGACCAATGCCTGACAAAGTGGCAAGTCAACTGCCATATCCCTCCAGCTGGCTCAGCCCCTCCGAGTTTGCTCCTTTTGTTAGCAGGGAGCGTGCTGGGGACCACGAGCACATCCCTGCCACCCTTCCACGCTCCCAAATCCAGCGGGACTGGGAGCCAGGGGTGGCGCAAGCCCCGTGGGGCTGGGGGTTCTGCCCACGAGGTGGTGGCCAAGTGGTTGAGGAGTGGGAGCCTGGGCAGGAGGGGGTCTCTGGCTCTGTGGGCAGGGTGGCAGTGGCTGGGAGAGCAGCTGGGACCTGCAGGTGAGCACAGGGTGCTGCTGGGTGCGGGGCACAGCAGGTAAATGTTCCCTTTGTTCTCCCAGCCTGGTCTGACCTCCGCAACACCGGCGGGGATTGTCAGAAACCTGAGCTGATAAAACCCTTCAGAGCAGCCAGTCCCGGGCTGGATTTACAGCAGGGGGAGAATCCATTCTCCCCAGGAGATGTGGATTTTCTCTTGGAGAGGCTGGGCTGGAAGTCGCAGCCCCTTTCCTCAGAAGTGCTGCTTGCCCTGGTGGGAAGGCTGTGGGTTTGTCTGCAACCACAGAGGGATGCACCGGGTTTTCTGCATTCCCCCTTGGGCAGGGGCAGCCCTGGGGGTGCTCTGTGTCTCTGAAGGAGCAGGGGGAGCCCTGGGGATGGGAGTGGAGTCTCTGCTCCGGGACAGGCAGGTACCATCAGAGCCTTGTGGGATTTGCTGGCGTGATGCCGAGAGGGCTGAGTCTGTGCAGTTCTGCATCCTGCTTGCTCTGGCCTGGCTGTGAGTTGGATGTTTGGGAAGGGAAGGCACAGGGAGGGCCCACTGCCAGCTCCTGTGGCTCGGCTCCCCTCCGTCCCTGCCCGCAAAGCCAGGATGGGTTTGGGCTGAGCAAAGCCAGCTGGGCTGCAAAAGGACTGACAGCTTGGAGCTCGCCTTGGCCTGGGGCCACGCTGGGATTTAGGCGTGGGTTCCCTCCCGTGTGCCTGGCAGCTAAGGGGGTCCAGCAGCCCTGGGCAGAGCCCTGCCTTGGCAGCAGCTCGGGAAATCCCAGCAGGGATGCAGAGGCAGCGGGAGAATTTCAGAATTTCCGCCAAGAGGGCGTGGGTGGGGAGAGTTGAACTCCTCCGCCGAGGCTGAGTGTTGGCAGGATGCTGGAGGGGGGACAGGATGGGTGATCTCTGGTGATACCTGCTGCTTCCTCTTTCAGGCAGAGATTGTCAAGAGGCTGAGTGCCATTTGTGCCCAGATGATTCCCTTCCTGACGCAGGAGGTAAGGAGGAGGTAGGGGGTGTGCATCAGATTGCTCTGGCTTCTTGGGAAGGGGCACATCCAAGTCCAGCCTGAACA